CTGCCAACGCGGCAGGCGCTGGGTGCGGCCGCCCCTGGCAGAGCTCAGAGCACTGGGGCTGGAGCAAAGAGGAGCGGCTGCCCGGCCAGCTGGCCATGGTGATCAGCCCAGGTGCACCCTTCTCTGCAGGAGAGGTGAGTTGGCCCCAGAGGAGGCACACGCTGGGGCTTCCCTGCTCCACGGGGAAAGGAGTCCTGGAAGGAGGCGGGTGCAGGGGACTCCCTGCTCCCACTGGCACACTTTCCCCTGCTGCAGAACCCTGCCCCCCGCTGTCACTCTGCCCCTGCTGCAGAAATCTGACCCCTGCTGCAGAAACCTGTTCTCCTGGCACCCTGTTCCCTCTCCCCTGCCCTCAGCCGCAGAACCCTGCCCCCACTGGCACCCTGTTCCCTGCCCCAGCACTCACTAGCACCCTTCCCCAGTACCATGTCCTCTGCTCCCAACTGATTTTTCTGTGGGTCAGTGACCCGACTCAAGACAGGTTTCCCACCCTTCTCATAAATAAAGATAATAAATAATAATAAATAATGTAGAAACTTTTTGTGTTTGACATAGTATTTTATTTAAAAATGAAGCCTGGCCAACAAACCCCCAAATGGGGCCAAACCCCAATCTGGCCACAACCACTCCTGCACTCCCCCTATCCCTAGAGCTGAGCCTATCACACACAGCACTTCCACTTCTTAAAAGATACCTTTTAAAGCCAGTGGCTTGCTTAGTACCCCAACATTGCCCAGCCTAGACCCCCCTCCCTGAGCCAGCGTCCCCTTCTCCACCTCCTCCTGCATCCAGATTTCCTCCCAGAGCTTGCACCTCTCACCCCTTCCCGCACCCAAATCCCTCATTTCCACCCCAAAGCCTATACATCCTGTCTCAACCCTGTGAGGGTACAGCTGGACTGCAGGAGTTTTTCAGGATTCTGGAGATATCCCAGAAACACTCTTCTGCATCCAGGGATGCGTTTGTTAAGAACATAAGAACGGCCGTACTGGGTCAGACCAAAGATCCATCTAGCCCAGTATCCTATCTGCCGACTGTGGCCAGCACCAGGTGCCCCGGAGAGGGTGGACCAAAGACAAATCAAGCAATTTGTCTCCTGCCATCCCTCTCCAGCCTCTGACAAACAGAGGCCAAGGACACCATTTTATCCCCTGGCTAATAGCCTTTTATGGACCTAACCTCCATGAAATTATCTAGCTTCTTTTTAAACTCTGTTACAGTCCTAGCCTTCATAGCCTCATCTGGCAAGGAGTTCCACAGGTTGACTACACGCTGTGTGAAGAAGAACTTCCTTTTATTAGTTTTAAACCTGCTCCCCATTAATTTCATTTGGTGTCCTCTAGTTCTTCTATTTAGGGAACTAATAAATAACTTTTCTTTATCGGCCCTCTCCACACCACTCATGAT